ATTATAACCCCAATAGTGATGGAAAAGAAGTTCCCAAAAAATTTAAAAAAGCAATGGATAAAAAGGTAAGGGAAATAAATTTAGATAGGATAGGGGATTGGATGAAGGTGGAAATGAAGAGGGAAAGGATGTTGGAAGAGTTTAAAGAAATAAAATTGTCATGGTTTCATTGTATACAATTAGAACAATGGGTAATAAATTGGAAAAAAAATAATAGAAGTGAAAGCCAACTCAGTCAATTCGAACAAATAATACAGAAGGGAAGGACTATAGAAGAACACGAAAACTTGAGAGGTATAATTAGCAAAATTTATAAGATATTAATTGAAATGAAAGATGAAAAAACAAAAAAGTGCACCCTTAAAGAGAGTTGGGAAGAAGATTTAGGGATAAAAATAAGCGAAATAGAGTGGCAACAATTATGGGGACAAAGACATTTAAAAAATTTATCGATACGAGTTAAAGAAAATTATTAAGTTAATATGGAAGTGGTACTTGACACCGGTAAGAATAGCATATATGAGTAAAAATAACTCAATAAATTGTTGGAGAGGGTGTCAAGAACCAGGAACATATATACACATGTGGTGGCAATGTAAATATGTAAATAATTTTTGGGGGATAGTATTTAGAGAAATAGAAACTATAATGAATATAAAACTAGATAAAAGTCCTAGTATAGCATTACTATCACTATATAACGATAAGCAATTGAAAAAGGAGGATAAAGAAGCGATAACAAACTTACTAACTATAGCAAGACTGCTTATAGCAAGGAATTGGAAAAAAGAAATGAATGTACAAATAGAGGAGTGGTATAAGGAAGCGTGGAAAATAGCAATAAATGATAAATTGACATGTATATTAAAGGTTAAAAAAGGTATATGGAAACAAAGCGATTTTGATGCTGTATGGGGAAGATTTGTGGTAAATGGATTAAAAAATAAGGAAGGAAAATTACCGTCACAAGAAGAAATGAAATTTTGGACAGAAGAAATGTAAGAAGGGTGGCTTGAAATGGGTGGAGGGGAGCACTGTGGTGAAAAAAGGGGGGAAAAAATGAGAAAAAGGGGGAGAAATGTCAGAGTAAAATAATAAAATAACATGTTAAAGAGGTTGATGTACAAAATGTAATAGTATGTAATAAAGTGATAAATCAATAAAAAATTAATAAAAACATTTCATAAATAAGTATAAAACTGATAAAAAATAAAAAGGACACAAGGGGCTAAATTATTTTGACCAAAAACGGGCAACAGCAACCACATGATCTGTAGCCTTAAACAATTCTTCTCCTGTGCATGAGGCAGGGCATTGTGGCCAAGCATATAGATGTGGAGTTGTTTGTTCTGCTCCACAGTCACACAAGGTGGTGGGTTCTTCTAGGTAGTGCCATTTTGCCAGGTTGTCTTTTGATCTGCCCACTCCAATTCTGAGTCTGTTCAGGGACTTCCAAGTCACCCATTCTTGGTTTGCCCCTGAAGGCAGACCCTCGTGGGGGCTATCCATTTGGGATTTCCTGGTTTAGCTGCCCAAAGGGATACTCTTCCTGTTGCTGGGGAAACATTAAGAGAAGTGGTGGTCCTCATCAAGCTTTTCTTTGATTTGAGTCTACTGTACAATTGATTTTGTATTTAAACTGATGTTTCTTCACTTCTTCTAATTAAGGATGAATCAAGCTTACATTTCACACAGTTCCAGAAAAATCAAAGTAGCTTTGAAGACCCTGAAGTTTTACCAATAGAGGAAGTCTTCATGAAAGTGCAATGCCCACCCTTTCGGGATCGATCCCACTTCAAAAACAGTGAGAAAGGAGAAAGCCAAAAATGTCAGAAGACAGTCAGTTTGGAGGAAGAGGATCCCACTGTAAAAAATGTGAACTATGCTCCTTTGATCCTTGATACACCAGGTGTCACCAACAAGCATCCGCTGCTACCTTTGTATAGAAAAGTTGCACCCAAAGAACCAAATCAAGGCCCGATATTTTCTGACTATCTTAGCAATCCACTTGAGGATATCACGGTAGACTACTTGCCAACTGTTACAGCCAATGATACGAACAATGATGAGGACAGCTTTGATTTTGAACTCAATTCATTTTCTGTATTCCCGAGAACGTTTCTATCCCAGTCATTTTCCCTCGGTGGAAAGCTCACTCTAGATGCTATAAGAATGGACTGTAATTCTTACACAGACTAAGGTTGCAATCTTATTCCAATTGATCTGGAAGAAAGATGTTTCACTGCGGGACTTACCTCAAAGGAGGTGTTTAGAATTATGCTGTTAGCTAGGAAGAAGCAACTTTTCTGATTCCCGAGGGCCATATGGTAATGTCAGGTCAGCCAAGGATATCTGCCCAAGGAATGAGAAATCTTAAGCAACCCTTCCCTTTCCCTTGAGATTACACTGTTGGAAGGGCAGAGGTAAAGCCTTTCTAACCCATCTTAAAAGAGGCAAAGAGAAACCCAAAGCTTGTTGCATCCAGCTTTTCTTAATAATATAGTAACAATGTATTGTCGAAGGCTTTCATTGCTGGAATCACTGTGTTGTTGTAGGTTTTCGGGCTATATGGCCATGTTCTAGAAGCATTCTCTCCTGGTGTTTCGCCTGCATCTATGGCAAGCATCCTCTGAGGTTATGAGGATCTCTGAGGATGCCTGCCATGGATGCAGGTGAAACGTCAGGAGAGAATGCTTCTAGAACATGGCCATATAGCCCAAAAAATCAACAACTCAATATAGTAACACATCTCTGATATTCTAGCTCTGGCCATTAACACTTAAATGGGGAATGTACATAATTGCCTCCCAACTACCTTTAGTATTTTAAAACTGCTATAATATACTTCCCATCTCATGCAGACCAAAAGCCGTTTCAGACACTAAAATACATAAATACCTTTTGATTTGTAGCGTAGCAAGAATATGATTTATCCACGGCAATATGTTCTGTATAACTTCCCTTTTCAGTTCATCATCATCATAGGCTATTTCACATGGCCGAGTATGATTGCCTTCCAAGTGTAGGGTCTTGGCGGTGGGTCTGTCGGCGACTGTAGAAACCCATTTTTGATCTGCATGTTCCTTTGCAGTGCTGAAAATGAGTTTGTTTAGACCTCTGATTGTTTATATATCAATTAAAAGTTTGGGTATGCTTCTACCAGAAGTTGATCCTAGAGTTCCACTAGAGGACCTAGAAATGCTGGGGAGGTGTTTTCTCTAGACATTTCCTAAGCCCTCTAGCATGATTCTATGGTATGCATTTCAGTAGGATTCACTATTATCAATGGTTTCACATTTCCATGGTAAGTCCAAGACGATATCACCTGCCAATATGGGGTTTGTATTGTAGTTGTTATTTTAAAATTCTATACATATTTATTAAAGGGCTCCTTCATGCAAATACCTCCAGTTAGGAAAGGCAAAGCATGATTTATTTCCACATGTGTTTTGCACAAAGGATGAATTTATTATTTATTAAAACATGTTTGAATGATGCTTCATTCTTGTGTCTGTAATAAAAATCCAAATTAGGAAAACCCTGGGTTTGAGAAAGCATACATGATTTAATTAATTAAAATGTGGGCAGGTGAGGAGTTTTCATTGCAATGCTGGAGCTATGAAGACCTAACTTAGAGAAAGTATACCACAGTTGGGAAGCCACAACCAAGAAGGCTCTGGCCTGATGGACTAAAATAACTCATATATCAAAGTTACATTTTCTAACACAGTAAGGCAAGACTGTTTAGATTATGACATCTCTGGTCTGCAACCCTCTGCAACAACAACAAAAAACAAAAACGTGATAGAACAAATCCAGCCAAAGAAAATGGATCAGAAACTGGGCACTCCAGCAGATGGAAAGCCAATGCAGAGGATCCTCTGAAGATGCCAGCTACAGATACAGCGAAACATCAGGAGAAAATGCTGCTAGAACACAGTCATATAGCTCAGAAACTACACAACACTCCAATGATTAAGGCCATGAAAGCCTGCAAAAATACAATATATACATTTTGTAGAAGTTCTTTTCGAGTTCTTCCCAATCCCTTTAAGCATGACTGCTTAGTGCTGTAAATGAGTTTGGCCACCTTACTATTCACATATTGTTCTAGGTCATTTAAGGGAGATTTTAAAAGCAATGGCCCCCAACACAAAACAAATGGGAAAGCAATTCTACTCTTAATAATTTGAATTCCTAAAGTCTGCTGGTGGATTTTATTCCCAGAAAAATACCTTAAAATGTTTTCTCTTACAAGGTGATTTTCACCTCTTTCAATATTTCCCAAAAATTTCTTAGTAGCCACAAAGCAACGTACCGTATATACTCGAGTATAAGCCAACCCAAATATAAACAGGGGCACCTAATTTTATCTCAAAAAACTGGGAAAACTTGTTGACTTCGAGTATAAGCCAAGGGTGGGAAATGCAGCAGCAGCTGCTGGTAAATTTCAAAATGAAAATAGATACCAATGAAATTACATTAATTGAGGCATCAGAAAGTTCAATGTTTTTGAATGTTTACATAAAACTGCAATTTAAAATAAGACTGTCCAACTCTGATTAAATTATTCTAACCTTCTTCGATGTAAATGTGCTTTTGTATCCTTCCAATAATCACTATAATTTATTTTAACTATACATTTGGGGGGGGGGGAATGCTGCGTCTGTATGAATAAAAAAAGTGGAAAATACTGGTGCCGAGAGAGAAGCAGAGGAAGGTGTGCACTGTGTGAGAGAGAAGAGGAAGGAAAGCTGGGTTGCAGTGTGGAGAGGTGAGGGTCCTGGCAGGAAGACGTGGGGGACCCTCACATGAGCATAAGCTGGGGGCGTGTAGCTTTTCAGCCTAAAAAAGGGCTGAAAACTAGGCTTATACTCAAGTAGATACAGTATTTCACATCTAATGTTCATAGTCTTGCCAAAGATATATCACTGAGAACATATTTGTTTCTGTTTTTGAATTATTTTAACTGTTTTGTATTGATTATTGTTATTGCTTTTGTTATTGATGTACTGTGGGCTTGGCCTCATGTAAGCCACACCGAGTCCCTTGGGGAGATGGTAGCGGGGTACAAATAAAGTTTTATTATTATTATATTTGAAATATAAAGTATTCAAAATCATTCTGGATGTCCATTCTGAATCATTAGGAATCCAGTAGGTGAATGTCCATTAGGAATTATTCTGAATAATTTTCTGCATGTAGGAAACTAGTTATAAAATATGAGTACAACACAATTTAAAGATAGAAATAGCGACATGGACATTTTATTCACCATATTTGAAGAGCAATTCATCCGAGTCTCTCCATAGGATGCATGCAGGTGCCTTCAGGTTGCCTGTTAACCCCATGAATTACATAGGGTTTATTTTTAGGCAAGGAATACCTTTTCCCAATTCTAGTTAGCCCTCAATACCCACGGATACAATCATCCATGGTTTTTTTTTTTTAAGTAAACCTTTTTGGATGAAGTTGTGAATGCCACAGAAAAGGTCTGAAGGTGGGAGAGAGGGAAATACTATGGTAGAAATGGAGGGATATTAATTGTGTACTACCCAACTTCTTGTGTACTTTCAATTTGATGTGGCAATACCTGCTCTGACACACATACATGCCAATTGTTGTCCCAATGTATAGTCTATATCTAGAAAAAATGCCATTCTTCCAAAAACAACCCCCTGCCAGCTGCCTGCTAATATGATAAATCTTCAGATAGTTACATATGTCTGCTTTCCAGGTGGAGATTGCAGTTCATTTGCTAGATCACAATGGATTGGATGGTTACAGCTTCCAGAAAAATGAGGTTCATGCCAAACACAAGCAAATTAATATTCATGTAGCTACAAGTTTCAGATTAACCCACAAGTGCAAAAGATCATTACCTCCTATCTGACAGATACAAACTGGGAACAACTGTGGATTACAATGTGCATATCCTCTTCTGTATGTACACAAACCCATATACTTGACAGGTTTCAGTACACTTCTTTGTTATAAGAGTATTGGGAGATAAGTTCAGACTTAACGAAGTAAGTACTAAGAACTATACAAAATAAAATGCTTTATGTATTCATGAATGGCAGAAACTTGGGACAGGATGTGGCCTCTTCCAATTTTATAGGCAACAGACCCCATTTTATATCAGAAGTTAATTAAGATCATACCTGGTTAGTATCTGGATGGGCAATCATCAGCTAATACCAGGTGCTTTAGGCTGTATTCCAGAGGAAGTAACTAGCAAAACCACCTCCTGAGTATTCCTTACTTAAGAAAACTTTATGGCATTCATGGGCTGCTATAAATCAACAGGCACGTGCACACACACACACAAATATCCAAATTAAGGAAACTACGCTTTAAAATATGCATTTAGTTCCTTTACTATGAAAGGTTCTTTTAAATCATTACAAACCTCCTCAGCTGGCTCCTCCCATAAGGACTGATCATGTTGCATTGTAAGCGTTAACACCCCATTGCAACAAATGCAGTAAAATTAGACCCAGCCTGCAAATCCCCAAATGCAGTGCATTTCTGCACTCAAACTTTTTTTTAACTTCCTCTTTCCAAAAAGCGAAATATGCTTTCGTTAGGGTAGAAAACTTTGCCGAAGAGTAGGTTTGGTTGTAAAAGAATGCTGACAAATCAACTCACTTGCAATGTGGTGCCAAAGAATTTGATAAGATTCCATGGACCAAATCAATGGGTCCTAGTACAAATCAAGTCTGAACTTCCAGAACAAGAAAAAAAAATCAATGAAACAACTGATATAAAAAAGATCATTCTTGGCTGAGTGGAAAGCAGTAGGACATTAATCCTAATTGGTTGTTATCAAGGAGAAGAGTTATCAAGGAAGGCATGGTTGTGGGCTTGGAGACTGTCTTCACATTTGACAGTAATTAAAATTGGGATAGATCCCCACTCAATACACTGGTAAGAAAAAAATGTATCATTAATTTGAAATCCATGATCAAAATCCCTAGGAGTCTTAGAAGAGTGCCTTTTCCACATACTGTATTTACCTGAGCCCAATGTTCACTTTTTTTTTTTTGCCTAAATTAAATTGGCTAAATTGAGGTGCATATTAGATTTGATGGCATGTTAGAATCACACACATGAACCCACCTGCTTGAAAAGGCCCAGAGGAGCCTGAAACCCCAGAGGCCAGACAGGGAGACAGAGGTGGTTTCTGATGGTGGCGGCAGCCTCAGGAGGACCAAGTCATTCCTGCTGCTTCGCCATGGATCCTGCCTCCTGGGTGGTCTTCTCCACCCCCACCCCTACCCAGTACAATGAGGTTCCCTACTGGCCTCATTCAGGAAGCCTTCAAAACTTCCCTGAGTTCTGGAGGCCTTGTGAATGAGCCAGTCGTACAAAGCTGGAGTTTACCAGCTTTGGGGCATGGCTTCCCACATGACCTCATTCATGCTGCCTGCCTTGACTGACAAGCTGTAGCTCTACTGTTGGGCGCACTACATTCAAGGGCAAATCCATTGACGTATTATATTTGATGGCACCTTATACTCCAGTAAATACAGCATTTGATCTTTCTTCTCACCAAATCACAGCATATCCCATGTTGTGGAATCCAACAGGTGG